GTAATAAACACACACAACAGGACAGGAGACACAGTGAGAGAGAGGAGATCACAGAGAATCCCTCAGTCATAAACACACACAGCAGGACAGGAGACAGTGAGAGAGAGGAGATCACAGAGAACCCCTCAGTTATAAACACACACAACAGGACAGGAGACAGTGAGAGAGAGGAGATCACAGAGAACCCCTCAGTCATAAACACACACAACAGGACAGGAGACACAGGGAGAGGAGATCACAGAGAATCCCTCGGTAATTAACAAAGTTCAAGCTTCTCTGCGTTGTACTTTTCCACTCAGTGCGCTGTCGATTACTACGCTTAATTATGCCGCCAACACACACACACACTTTCTCTCTCTCCAAAGATCTGAGGAGTGCCATTTCACAAGCAGATCCAGTCCTCAGATCTCTCTCTCTCTCATCTTCCTGTGTTGCGCTGCAGTTGCGGTATGATTGCACAGTCAGAGAGTCAGAGTGCCAGTAATAACGGCGTCAACGGTGTTAACCCAACGCCTGTCCCCTGCTCTCCTGGTGCCGGGGGACTCGGTCGGCCAGCTCTTCACCGCTGTTAATCCGTCTCTGGACAGTGTCCAGCGCGGTATCGAGCTCTCGGGGAGCAGTACTGATGTGCGCTCGGTCTGTCAATGGGTGGGTCGTTAATACTCTTCCCTCTCCCAGTGATCCAGTCATTCGGTCTGTGCTGACCGCCTCACCCCCTGCCTGTCCCTCTCAGTCCGGCGTTACTCTACAGCCCAGAGTTACTGTACGACGGCGTCCACCCCTCTCTCAGCCCGTCTGTCTGGCTGGGAATGTGCTTGCAGGGCCTGTGCCGACAGGCCCGGCCTGTGTCAGTTCCTCAGCTATGTCAGATCGGTCCAGACTTGCACACAGAGGTCTATCCCCCTCTCCATCGTCTCTGACTGACTAAGTGCAGGCCGAAACGTGCGTGAGGGTCGGGCTCTGAATGAACACGATTCAGATCAACTCTAGCATAATTCAGCAGGGCTGAGGACAGGAGATCTGGACTTGATCCAGCAAGAAAGCCCACAGCTGTTGCTGTTGCTGCTGCTTATACTCAACGCGAGAGAACTGACACAGCCCAGTCCCAGGGCTCTAGACTCTTCTAGTCCCTGTGGACACACTGACACAGCCCAGTCACAGGGCTCTAGACTCTTCTAGTCCCTGTGGACACTGACACAGCCCAGTCACAGGGCTCTAGACTCTTCTAGTCCCTGTGGACACTGACACAGCCCAGTCACAGGACTCTAGACTCTTCCAGTCCCTGTGGACACTGACACAGCCCAGTCACAGGGCTCTAGACCAAATTGTTACAGATCATTTGGAGTGAAGTGTATTCAAATATAGTATTCGATATTTCACTAATCATAGCAGTTGGTATGAGAGCCAGGCAGTGCTCTAATAAAGGTTTTAGTTGTGAAATCAGAGGTTAGCGTTGTGTAATGTAGGCCCGAGATGAGTAAATCAGTTTGAAAGAGGCAAGATGGACCGAACTGATTCTAAAAGGAGGTACTTGGTTGCTATGGGCAACTGGTGATTCTTAAAAAAAGCTCTGGGCTTTGTTGCTATGGAAAGTGGAATGCAATCTGGAATGAGTACGACATGGACGATGTGCTGCTTTAGGGAAAATGAAGTAACGTAAGTGATTAATAATTTGTCAATCAGCATGAGATCAATATCGTGCTATAAATCTGTAATTCCTCAATGACTCAGGTTCTGGGTTAACGCCCTCTCAGGCAACATCCTAGAAGACTAATGGAAGGCAAAGCCTCTGTCTGGGTCTGCTCTAGACTAGGTGTCTGTGACTGAGCCCTGGGT